GAAAATGTTGTTTGCGCTGTATTTAGACCACTCTCCCAAGAAATTTGTTTTTCATGCACACGCATAAAAATTGCGGTTTTTATCCAACGCAATCATAGGTTATACAAGTCTAAATTGAAAACAACGTTCAAACCTATGATTGCGTTTGATAAAAACCGCAATTTTCGATTTTCGAGTTTAATTCCAAAATTATTACTGCGTTACAAATCATGCACGATGACGGTCACATAGATGAGGATACAATCGGATATTTAAAACCAGAGATAAACATCATTACCTTTCTCCCCAAAGCTGTCAGCCCAAACACTGTACAAAAAGTATCCCGTACAGTCAAGCTCTCAGAGTAAAGCGGATTTGCTCCTCTGAGGAGGCCGTCACTAAACGGTTACAGGAACTTCGCGGATTTTTTGACCAAACGAGGTTATAAGAAATTGGACATAGATAAGGGATTTGCGCGTGCTAATAACAACAGCCGCAATGACCTATTACAGTACAAACAGAAGAGGCGCAGCAAAGTAGTTCCGTTTGTTTTAACATACAATCCCGCCTTTACTAACCTTTCACGTTTGATCCGTGCCAATTGGCAAACTATTGCCAAGCACCAAATATTGGCCAAGATCTTTCCCAATCCTCCTGTCTTAGCTTTTCGGAGACCAGCAAGTCTGAATGACTTATTTGTGAGAGCTGACGTCTCCTCTAATAAAAGCTGTTCCACTGCAGGATGGTGCAAGTCGTGTGGTAACAGACGATGTCTGACTTGCCAACAAATACTGAATACTGTAAACTCAGAAATTATTGCGTGCATTTATTATTGCGATTTTTCAAGAATGGACACAAATGCGAGATTAGTTATTGCGATATCTTGAAAATCTGCATACAGATATATGTAACAAACATCATAATGCGAGTTCTTATTATTGCGATAGTCGACCAGTCGCATTATTCGCATAAATAAAAACCTCGCAATAATTTCTGAATTTACAGTACTCAAACATTTACTTGCCACTCCACCGGGTCTGTGTACACTATATTTTGTAATGTAACTTGCAAAACCCAGAATGTTGTATACCTTCTTCAGTGTCGATGTGGCATGCAGTATATTGGCGAGACAGAACAGCCATTCAACAAACGCATGAATGGTCATCGAAGTGACTACACCTGCAAGCCCGACCTCCCCGTAAGTCGTCATTTGAGATCACCTGGGCACGCCCAAGCTGATCTAAAAAACCTTACAATCACAATCATAGACCACAACGAGGGTTGGTCAAGGGCCGAAAGACTTGCTCGAAAAAGGTTTAGGATAAGAAAGCTAAGGACAGTTTCCCCAGAGGGCATAAATGAAAAAACATAGAATGAGTCACTCATGTTCCCTACCATCACTCATTTTCCACATCATTTGTTTCCAGTTACTCCGGCTTCCTTACTTGACTCTTTTGGAATTTTTTGAATTTTACTAGTTTAAATACCAGGGTTCTTTTCATTTGGTAGGGATGTACAAGTACGCATCCACGTCCAATTATTAACCTTAGCCCAAATTTACTATTATTTTTTCTTTTCATTATAAAACCTCTGTTTGACATATTTTACCAGCTTATATCGATCAGTGCTGCTTTTTGCGAATGTATTTACACGCAGTTGTTGTAACATCTTAACTGACGTCATTTTGGAATTTTAGAGTTGTGCCAGTTCATATCTCTTATTACTATTTTCATTTTAGGCATGTCTTTGAGTAGTTTTTTTTTTGAAATTTTAAAAATTTATTAGCGTCTCTACATATGATGTTCGGGTGAAACTGTTTCACTTTTTTTAATGGATAGAATTCAAGATTGCTATAGTTTAATAATCAGAATAGTTTGATCTGATTCATTTTACATCATACTGATGAAGGATATCTGTTATCCGAAATATTTATAGTTACATTTGTTCGTTTATTGTCATTTTTTGGTGATGTTGTACCCTTTTTTACAACATCACCAAAAAATAATTAAATCATGAACAAATTTTAGATATTTCGGATAACTAATATCCTTCATCAACAAGATGTAAAATGAATCTTATCTTGACATGTGGTAGTCAAACTGAAATAAAAATCTTGAATGCTTTACAAATTATCAATATAATCAATACACTGGTAATTTTTTTCAATATTGATGTTTGGGAGGAGGAATAAATTACTTAAAACTGTAAGAGTCCAAAACGGAAGCCTGAATTACTGGAAACAAGTGATGGTAGGGAAAATGAGTGACACAGTCTATGTTTTTTTCATTTATACCCTCTGGGGAAACTGTCCTAAGCTTTCTTATCCAAAACCTTTCCCGAGCAAGTCTTTCGGCCCTTGACCAACCCTCGTTGTGGTCTATGATAGTGATGGTTAGGTTTTTGAGATCAGATTGGGCGTGCCCAGGTGATCTCAAATGACGACTTACAGGGAGGTCGGGCTTGCAGGTGTAGTCACTTCGATGACCATTCATGCGTTTGTTGAATGGCTGTTCTGTCTCGCCAACATACTGCATGCCACATCGACACTGAAGAAGGTATACAACATTCTGGGTTTTGCAAGTTACATTGCAAAATATAGTGTACACAGACCCGGTGGAGTGGCAAGTAAATGTTTGAGTATTCAGTATTTGTTGGCAAGTCAGACATCGTCTGTTACCACACGACTTGCACCATCCTGCAGTTGAACAGCTTTTATTAGAGGAGACATCAGCTCTCACAAATAAGTCTTTCAGACTTGCTGGTCTCCGAAAAGCTAAGACAGGAGGTTTGGAAAAGATCTTGGATAATTTAGGGTGCTTGGCAATAGTTTGCCAATTGGTATGGATCAAACGTGAAAGGTTAGTAAAGGCGGGTTTGTATGTTAAAACAAACGGAACTATTTTGCTGCGCCTCTTCTGTTTGTATTGTAATAGGTCATTGCGGCTGTTATTGTTAGCACGTGCAAATCCCTTATTTATGTCCCATTTTATAACCTCGTTTGGTCAAAAATCCGCGAAGTTCCTGTAACCGTTTAGTGAAAGCCTCCTCAGAGGAGCATATGATCCGCTTTACTCTGAGAGCTTGACTATAGGGGATACTTTTTGTACAGTGTTTGGGGTGACAGCTGTGGGGAGAAAGGTACTGATGTTTATCTGTAGGTTTACAGTAGAGGTCTGTTGATATGACACCGTCCTTTATAGATGTAGTTGTGTCTAAGAAAGTTATTTTAGATAAAAACCGCAATTTTTATACGTGTGCATGCAAAACAAATTTCTTGTTAGAGGGGTCTAAATACAGCACAAACAACATTTTCCAAAAGACCAAAAAAGTGAAAAAGTGTATTTTAACAAAACGCATTTGACTAACAGGTCGAACAACAAATGTTCTTAAACCCTGCTGACTGCCATTGGCGATTGCCAAATAAACGGATCACCGATGTAATAAATGGATCTTAATTATAAATTAAATACTAGACAGAAAACAATAAACTTGTGGAAAAGATGGTATACCGCAAACAAAAGGTGCAAAGGTTTTTTGTACACCATATCCGTATTTCGACAATAAATGTCTCTTCAGTGATGTTAGGAATCGAAACGATATTTGGAAAGCCATACAATTTACCTCAATTTGGGATAGACTCTCGAATTTTGAGGAGTCAAAATAGGATGAACGGATCATATAAACCCGAAGGCAAAAATAATACAAACGAAAAAATATAAACAAGTCTAAATTGAAAACAATATAATAATTATTACGGTGAGGTGGAATTCCCTGTCATTTATTCATCATCCACACAGGAACTTGTCTTAGAAAATAATGTATCTATGTACCTTAATCTAACTTTCAGGTATAGAGATATGATTTTTTTTCTGAGACAAGTGCTTGTGACCATCCACCAGAACTTCCGGACATCCGATGTTCAGTACTTCAGTACTTTGATTACAAGTGGTCAGATTAATGTTTAATTTTTCACCATAAAAGAGTAGTTTTGACCTTTGTTTATGCTATGCAAATTAATATATTCCTTGTATGCATTGTTAAGCAAGTTTGATGGTGAATATCCCAATATTCCAGAATACTTGATGACACCAGCAAGAAGGACTATAGTTCCATCAAAGACGAGTTGTCAAATTAGAATGAAGTACCATAGATCAGGGGCGGATCCAGCCATTTATAAAAGGGGGGTTCCAACTATATGTCCCCATTCAAGTGCATTGATCGTCAAAAAAAGGGGGGTTCCAACCAACGGATCCCCCCTCCTGGATCCGCCACTGTAGATATTAATTTTATGGCTATTATATCTATATCTATGGAAGTACTGACCAACGAAACCTGGAAATATATTAAACACCTGTACCAGGGACTTTCTACTTTCTAGAACATATGATTTTTTTTAAATGAGCACATTTTGGATGACACAACTTTATTTCAACATATTCGTGTGATGAGTCAATCGACTCTTTACGGATTACCCATGTAGATGTATATAGATATGCCCTTCTTTCGGAAAATCTCTTCTTGTTCTATTTTTAACAAATTGTGGACTTCCTGTTATTTATTTTTAGGTATTGAGGTCAAGTGGGAATTACCTCCTGAAAGGCCCAATGGACATGACGAACGACTAATTCGAAACTAACATATTATAAAGCAAAACCAAACGATCGACTTCAGGTACGTAAATATGTTTATATTATATTTATACAATGAACTAAACATATAAAATGGAGAAATTGCAGACAGTTTAAGGATTTTTTCTTCATTCCTGACACTTGTCACATCATGACAAATGGCAAATGCACATGTTACATAATTTTAAAGATAGCTCTTTTACATATGACTATTTTCCTGGACGAAGTTTGCATTCTTTACTTAATAATTTTACGTGTATTTACAAGAATGTAATTAGGAAATCAGAAGTCCTGTAGGAAGTTTAGACATCTCGCTCTAAAGCAAATTCGGCCCACCTATTCTCGTCCTCGGGCGCAAGACAACATGCCCCACTTTTGACTTAATAATCATGATAATAATAATAATATTTTATTCAATAAAATATCAAGCATATGAGTTAATACAATACTAAATATATACGATACATAAAGACAATACGAACACATACTTTGTAAAATATAATGGCATTTTATGAGTGTAGTATCCTTAAGTGCATGGAAAAAATTTGCTGATATTTTATCAGGGATAACCTATGAAAGCTCTAGAGCTTGTTTCCAGTGGGTCCCTTCATGTAAACGGCTTATAGTTTCGACATACAAAAAATGATAACACACAAATTAATATGACATAAAAACTTCATATAAAATTAATTTAAATAAAAAATAAGCTTAATAATATAAAAAGAAGTCTGATGAACTCACTGCCGCACTATAACTTTTGGTCAAGTACTCTTTGACGCTAATTTTGAAATCCTTTATTTTCTTTATTTTTTTAACATTATTTGGCAACATATTCCAATCTTGTATGCCATTAAAATAAAATGTATCTTTTTGTTGACTCTTTACTGGTGGAACCCAGAAGTTATCACTATTTCGTGTGAAATGATGATGAAAATGTCTCACCTTTGTAAAATTTGTATACATATAATTTGGACAATGGTGGTAATAAATATTATAAACATGGTTTAATCTCAATTGTTTAACACGATTTTCAATATTAACATAACCAATACTATTCATTACATTATGGTCAACTTTTGATCTATATACAGTATTTTTTTATAAATCTAACACATTTGTTTTGTAATACTTGTAACTTATCTTTATATTATTTGCTGACACCAGCATACCATGCAGAACAGGCATAGTCAAAATGACATTGAATTAGAACTGTAACTAAAGTCTTTCTAGATTGTTCTGATAAACATTTGGCCTGTCTGTATAGGAACTTCAATCTTGAATTTATCTTTTGAATAATATTATTTAAAAATTTTCTCCAGAAACAGAATTATCAATATTCAGGCCTAAATACTTCACACAATTTTGCTATGAAATTGTGTGATTATTACAAGTAACGTCGAAGTTACGAATTTTAGACAATTTACGTTTTGACCCAAACAGAATAGTTTCTGTTTTCCCCGAATGAAGTGATAATTTATTATCGATCAGCCATTTGCTGCAAGATTCAAGTTCCTTTAATACAAAAATACATCTTGTTTCCTCCATTGAATAGATATCACGGTATATAGCTACATAGATAAGATACAATTAACAGAGTTATAAATACAATGAACAGATCTTTAAATTACATAATAAGAATGGAGCAAAGATATTATGAAATGAATACAAATTGCTCTTGGCGACACTCCCAGCACAGAAATTGAAATTTAATTGTAATGTTCTGAATATTGCTGTTCCATTTCTTAACTTCTGAAAAAAACATGTTTGATCATTGAAAAGTAATTAATACACAAAGACCTCTTTCATAGTCACAGAATAAGACATAAGTACTGGATCCCACATTTTTTTTCGACATTGCCATCACTTGGCATCCTTCTTCCACTTGGATATGGTGTATCATTGTAATTTTTTTCAAAACAATTCTATGACACTATTGTTATAAAATAAGGGAATGTGGTAGGATTGCCAATGAGACAACTATTCAACAGAGTCCAAATGACATGAATTTATTAGTAACTATAGGTCACAATACTGTACAGCCTTCAACAATGAGCAAAACACATACTGTATAGTCAGCTGTAAAAGGTACAGACACTACAAGATGTGAAAAAATTCAAACAAAAAGAACAATTGTCTGATTTATGACAAAACAATTATAAAAAAACAGATATTTATTACCAACAGCAACCTACGACAACCATTGAATTTCACACTCCTGACTTGAGACAAAAATACCAAATGACCAAAAATATTGGATATAACTGATGGGAGTTACTGCCATTAAATGACTGTTTTTGATGAATTTTTGTGATTTGCCATTTGAAAAATACAAGAGCTAGATAGAAACTGTATACAGCAAAAATGATCAACAGTACAAGGTATACAGAAATGCTTGGATATCCGACACCATTTGTTGATCTCAGCTAGGAGTTATTGCCCTTAAATTACCATTTTGACAAAATTGTTTTCAAATATCAACATGAATGTTGTAGAAAACGAGGAAAGAAAACATTTCTTGATAATGTTGATTGCAAGAAAGATAAAATAGATATCAAATTGCCATATTTTTGCAGGTAGGTGATTTAGCCTATTGTTTAGCATTAAGATCAGATTATGAATGCCAAACAACTATAAAAGGCATTAAACCCAATAAATGTCAATGCATTGTTGGTTTGAACTGAATTTAAGTCTTCAAACTGTGATCCATGTATTATAAATCTGTAACTGCAGAAAGTGGAAGATTGTAGACCTTTGAAATTTAGTCTTAAAACTTTTAATTTAAAACATGAAACAATATGTATAAATTATATCAAAGTCAGACAAAATTTATTCTTAAAAAATAATGGCAAGTTTTAAAATAAAATATCTGAAGTTGACTTAGGATAAAAATAGTACAGTTTAAAAATATTAATAAAAAAAGATTAAAGTATTTCATAGAGGAGTTCAGGTTACCTCTTCTTTTAATGATAAGTCATGGGACCTCTGTGGTTGAGTGATCTTAGCAGATCATCCAGAGTGATCACTAACTTTTCGACTCTGAGGTTGTTAGTTTAAATTAAATCCTGATTGTGACAAGATGTGCAATCACTGCAATGACTCTGATCTTAATTGACAAAGATTGCCAATATTCCTGCTGAAGGTTGTGGTTCTCTCCTGGTACTCTATTTTCCTCTACAAATAAAAAACTGGCCACAATAATATAGCAAAGGACACTGCATGAAAATGCCATTAAACAACAAACAAACAATAAGTCAAGACACCTTCCTTATTTCAGATCAAGCCAAGCTAGGTCACATTTATTAGCTGAATATTCAAATTTGAAATTGTGCCTAATTATTTGAAGAGTGAGAATGCAAGAATATTAGACATCTAAGGCAAGTTATTTTGGTTTACTTCAACAAAACGTTTTCAATACTTTCTCTTTTTTTCAAAAGTAATTTTTTTGTCAGGTGGAAAAAGTTTTCGTTCACTGTATCATTTTGTACTTTTTAGCTTCAAAGAGACCTTTAAAGCCAATATTTTTTTCTGTTTACTTATCATGCTTATATCAAATATCTTTTTCAACAAAATTGTTCTGAAAATGTGTTCCTGAAGTTGCATGGTGGAAAACATTATCTTGTCCCCTCCTTGTTCGACAACCTATGAACTATACAAAACATTGTAGACACAGTTAGGTCATAAATTTAAAAAAATGAAGTAAATAAATGAAAAAAATCATGATTCTTAATTCCTGTAGAATGCATACAATTTGTTAATCTAAACTTTGTTATCAAAGATTGGTGTTTCTAAATTTGAAATAAGTTAGAATTATCTCCCCTTTCTAAGTTTGCTTCATTTTGTATTGGATTCTCAAAATTATTGTGAATAAAGATAAAGTTTATGAATTAGACAATTCTGTATGCTCTCATGTAGATTGTGTACCTGAAATCCTGAAATATTATCTTATCTAAAAATGAAAAGATAGTATTTTGAGGTATTTAAATTTGAAAATTTTGAGTGAGATACCATTTTGATTCCACTGTGATGATCTATACAAACTAAAGATTAGATCACACTTCACCAAATCTTGATAAGTTTCTTTATTGATCTTAAAGCTCAGAGGCAAAAATCTGTATATATGCAATGCATTGAAGTAAAAATATGGAGATGTGGTATGATTGCCAAATTAATGAGACATCTATCCTCCCAAGTTCAAATGAAGTGGATGTAAGCAATTAAACCTATTGCTGCTGTCTTACATGCAAAATACAACATGGATATTAAACACCTTATTAGGTAAACAATGACAAGCTGAGGTCAAGGTCCTAAGTTAAAATACTTCTCTTGATACTGAATGAATCATCAATTAATTTTAAATTATTAAATTTCATGAATTTGGTACACTTGAAAATGTACATGTTATCACCGCTTTAGAGGATTAATCTTTTGGGAATTGTCGAGGATCAAGCTTAGTTCTTCAGTTCAGTTATAAATGTTATTTCTATGGAATGGATTGATCACACTACAAATATTCAAGGTCAGAAGTCAAATGTCAATCACACCAACTGGTACTCAAGGATCAGATGGAGTTTCTAAAGAAATAACACATTTGAAATATCAGGACTCTTTATAGCCCCAGTGTATCCCAAACTCTCTCTGACCGACAAAATGTTAGACAAAAAATCATTCGGTCAGACAGAAATTTTTAGATTTTTTAGTTGAAAATATAGTAGAAAAGGTCAATTTCTTTTTCGGTCAGACAAACCCCCTAAAACAGTTTGGCACAGACTGTAGCCCTACTGGGTAATTGCAGTGACCCAATTTGTATCTTATTCATCTATTAAGTCTTCTTCCTTCCAAGTAACAAAAATATTTACAATTCCAAAATCATTTTCTGTAAATAACTATACCGGAGATATTTACTGGTTAAAACTGTGTAATTAGTTCAGAACTTTGATGCTTTGATAAAATTACTATGGGAAAATTATCAAGACCATTCTCTAAATTGAAAGTCTGAACAAAAAGGTCATACTCATGAAAAGGTAACACAAGGTAAACACCCACAATTTTCTATTTACATGAAAATATTTAAATGATCAAGATACAATATTTTAATAACCTAACCTCGTCTAATAAAAAAAGTTCATTGGAGCACAACTTAAATGAATAAGCACAAAGAAGTTTTGCATGATAGATGGCAATTATTTGATTAAAATAGGATCTCTGATTCATTACATAATTATAGAGCTCTGTGTTTAGTCCTAATCTGTTAATCTTAAACAGAATTTCGTAACTATTATTTTATTCCTTGAACTGGACATGCTAATAAGTGAACTATAATGCAGCTTGTAACATTATCACACAATGTTTTAAATATTGATTCTGGATAATTTTTCTCAGGTAAATGTGTTCGGGATAGCCTAACTTTGTTTGTTATCATCACCATGTTAGGTAAGTTAAGTATACATTTAATATTTATTTATTGAATTCTGGTTATGTTTGTACTATTTGATGGTTGTTTATATTGATGTACAAGAATTTTGTTGGTCCATAAAACTGGATTATAAAGCCAATTTAACAACATTCCAATCGATTTAATATTTGAGTCTTAGTCATGCAGTTAGTGCAGTTCTAGACCATGTCAAGATTATCCTAATGGTTTATCTTGTTTTTTGTTTTATTGTCAGGATATTTAATAATCCTTAAAAATCCTGATGGAATTACTCTTTGTCAAACTTTACTAAAATATTTTGACGATTTAAAATATTAAGAAGGACTAAGTCTTTCCAAGCATTGATTTCCTCACATATACACAAAGTCAATTCATTTTCATTTTGTGCAGTAAAATTGAGAGTTTAAAGACAAAGCCTATTGATTCTATTGGGTATCTTAATACCGTACAACTTAATATGATAATTAGCAAATGTACAGACCATTAGGACACAAAATATTTTTCTTTCATGCTGAGATCTTTTGGCATCTTGTTTGCTGTGTTTTATTTATATAAAAATGCTGTCTTGTTGGTTCGGATATTATTGGTATTATGCACCAAGCTGAGAAAGTGCCAAGCTTCCAGTCTCAACATTAAGGTCAACCCATGAAAAAACTCTGTAATGGATCTGTAGGTAGCCTTTTGCATGGCAAAATACGACCTCTTTTTTTAAAGGATTAAATTTCCAGCCCATCTACCTGATCTTCCGAAAGGGGTTTTCCTATGTAAAAACAAAGATTTGAGGTGTACATATCATAATTTGGATATTGTTGCATTTTCAGCTAGGTCTCTTTTAATGGAAATGACATTTGTTTTTATCATACGTCACATTGAAATGCCACGTTTTGATTGGCTAATAAGAGGGAGATAATTTACTCTATCCCATTGCCCAGTTGAGACAATTTTTTGAATGTCATACACTGGTGCAGACCAATCAAGAATTGATAATTTTAACGACAACAAATAGAATTTACATCAATAATTTTAAAGACAATACTTAAGTTCTACATTTTGGCCTGAGAACTTTTTCATATTTATAGATTGTCAAAATGAAAAATACATCTTGCTTCACTTTTGTTGTTTTTCTAATTACGGTAACGTTGTTATGCACATAAGTCATAGTTAAGTACTTTCAATTTAAATTTTAAAAGTCAATAATGATAGAACATTTAGTATAATGAATTAAATAACTCATAGCTGAGAGGGTGATAGAGCAGATTGGTACCTGTCAGCCTTGGCTTCTTCTCGGTTGACAATGTTTTCTTGGGGTAACAGTCTGCTTTATCACCCTCTCAGCTATGTGTTATTTATATAATGTGCCTTTGTGGCATTTACATCAATTAAAGTGCCTTTCATCATGTCACCATGTTCTTTTGAAATATAAGAAAAAAATGCATACCAGTATTATGCATATATCAGGTTTAAGTGACTCCAGTTACTGAAAGAATTTTTGCCAAATTGGCATTCATAAATTCTTTAGCCTCTTATTCATTGCAACTGAGTTTTGAAAAATTATATTGTAAAGTTTTTTGTAGTTAAAGTTATTTTATGCAATTTAAAAAGTTGTTATTATAAATATGGTAGATATACTTATGTCACACATGTGTAGGTTATAAAACTGCATTTTAGCCAATTACTTGACCAAAATGTGAAAACATCAATGAAATGAGGCATAATTTTATATATATTTGGTTTTTGTCGAGCCTGCGACTTTTGTCGCAGAAAGCTCGACATAGGGATAGTGATTCGGCGGCGGCGGTGTTAGCTAACTTCTTAAAAGCTTTATATTTTAGAAGGTGGAAGACCTGGATGCTTCATACTTTGTATATGGATGCCTCATGTTACGAAGTTTCCGTCAGTCACATGTCCAATGTCCTTGACCTCATTTTCATGGTTCAGTGACTACTTGAAAAAAAAGTTCAGATTTTTTGTAATGTTAAATTCTCTCTTATTATAAGTAATAGGATAAGTATATTTTGTATGTGCGTACCTTGCAAGGTCCTCATGCCTTGACCTCGACCTCATTTCATGGATCAGTGAACAAGGTTAAGTTTTGGTGGTCAAGTCCATATCTCAGATACTATAAGCAATGGGTCTAGTATATTCGGTGAATGGAAGGACTGTAAGGTGTACATGTCCAACTGGCAGGTGTCATCTGACCTTGACCTCATTTTCATGGTTCAGTGGTTATAGTTAAGTTTTTGTGTTTTGGTCTGTTTTTCTTATACTGTATGCAATAGGTCTACTATATTTGGTGTATGGAATGATTGTAAGGTGTACATGTCCAACTGGCAGGTGTCATCTGACCTTGACCTCATTTTAATGGTTCAGTGGTTATAGTTAAGTTTTTGTGTTTCAGTCTGTTTTTCTTAAACTATAAGCAATAGGTCAGCTATATTTGTTGTATGGAAGGATTGTATGCTGTTCATGTCTGCCTGGCATGGTTCATCTGACCTTGACCTCATTTTCACGATTCATTGGTCAATGTTTAGTTTTCTTGGTTAAGTCTGTTTCTTAGAAACTATAAGCAATAGGTCAAATATATTTAGTGTATTGAATGATTGTAAGATGTACATGTATTTCTTGTTTGGTTTATATGACCTTGACTTCATTTTCTTGGATCATGTTAAGTTTATGTAATAGTTGTAGTAAAGCTTTCATTTAGGACTATCAACATAATATCAATGGTTAGTAAAGAAGGCGAGACATTTCAGCGTGTGCACTCTTGTATAGAATAATAAGCATTGTCCTGTACTTCTTCCTTGAAAACTGATTTGCCTGTTTGTATAATGCTTTATCTAGTTTTATGAGGATACGATCATAAAATCTTTTTTATCCGACTGTTACTTGAAGTACTTAAGTAAAACAATACAAGAAAAATTTTCCTTGAAGTAAAAATTCAGAGAATTGAATGAAGGCCTGAGGGTATCCACATATGGAAATGTCTATAAGAAATTTTATATAGGAAATCATAAATTCTATATGTTTTTTTCAACCAACAGGTGATTAACTTCACCCAAAAGCTTAATGTTCAGCTATCACTATTTTTAAACAAATATTTCCTAAAATATATATTTAAAAAGTAATGCTATAAAGGGGGTTTGCTGTATCAAAAAGGTATGGAAACACATTTTGAGTTTGGATGTGATAAACATCCTCTAGTTGTTTGATAATTTTCTATTTTAAGACAATAAAGCATATTTAGAAGTTTTCATATATAAAATAAAATTACTGACAAAGAAATTATTAATATAATATACAAATGTATGTGTGAAGATATAACAACCAGAGTATAATAAGAGGCTAGAAATAGTCCTAATATCTGGGTGATACAAGATGTTCACATGTTTTTCTTCACTTATTATTATCAATTTTGAAATGTATATGAATCTTAAACAGCTGAAGATCTGCCTACTTTCAAATTTAACAAATTTAATGAAAGGTTTACCTTTTGAAATATAACCAACTGAGGTCTTGTTTGAAATAGCTATTGAATTTTCTAATACATCTTTCATAAATATAATTTTAGGCCAATCTTCTGTACTATGAGATATTCAGGTAAAAATAAGAAAAAAGACATTGTTTGAATACCTCATTTTTCACTGCTATTCAAAAGACTTTTTGATTTTTTCTGTATTTGACATGTCCTTTTGACATTTTAGAGATCTATATACTTGTGTTAAAAAAATATGATTGTATAACTTGACAAATTTTAATGCAGGTGCATGGGAAAATTGATATACAGTGATATAAGACTGGATTAAAAAAGAGAAAGAAGAAAGAAGATTGACATACCAAATGAAAAAATAGAACTTAATGGATATAGGTAATTATTTTATAATGCATTCATTTTAACTTATCATTGTAAAAGCAAATGAAAAGAGAGGCCAAAGATACCAGAGGGACATTCAAACTCATAAGTCGAAAATAAACTGACAACGCCATGGCTAAAAAAGAAGTGACCAACAAACAAAAAATAGTACACAAAACACAACATAGAAAACTAAAGACTGAGCAACATGAACCCCACCAAAAACTGGGGGTGATCTCAGGTGTAACATGCATTACATATCTAGCAGTAATGTTTAGAAACATTTTATGACCTTTCCCAGGACTTTTTTAAAGATAATTATCATGAAAAAAATTCACATTTGAATTATTAAAGACCTGTTTTTTGTTGAATTAGTAGAAGTTTATCTCAGTAGGAATCTGGTAATTATTTTACACAATAACATGTTAGTCATGTTAGTCATACATGTACATGTATTCAGTTATAAAGCAAAACAAAGGTTTCAGATTGTTTGAATACCATTAGATTTATTAATTTTAAGTATCTTATGGCATTGTGCACCTAATTTCTTTATGCAAATGATATTTTTTTAGGTTTTCCAAATGTTAGCTGTGACATATTTACTAAGTGTGTATCTGCAACTCTTAATATATCAGATATGTACTTGAATGGTTGTCACAATAATATTTCTCTTCCCTTCCTCAGAGTCTCTGTCTGAAATTTGTATCTTCAACTCCTCCTAAACGAGATATTTTAAGTTTGAAGATGGCTACTGCATACTAACAGAAGTATTATTTGATAAATCATATTCTGTGATTGACCTTTAGGTCGGGTTATTATTAAAATGACAGAGGGTTATTCATTGAGTGCATGTTTTCTGTATGAATAATATAGGATATTTAGGTATATTGTCAATGAGACAGCAACATGAATTGTACATAAACTGTAAACACAAATTTTAATATGCAACCAAAAAACAATTTGAAAGATTATATTTATATGGTAAAATCAACACAATGAATATCTCATAAGTATATAAGTACACTTTGTAAAAAAGATAGTTTTAGGAATGTTACTTTTGTTGATTCTTTTTTTATATTTAATGGACTATTATAAGAATTGTTACATTAATAGATGTTTTGTAGAAATTTATAAAATATTCATTAGGTTTCAAACATAAATAATGACATTTTCTATTGAAATATTATGCTTTTTGGGTTTTATAGCTGATGACATGATAAATTGTTAAAGTTTCAGCTGATGACATTTGAAAATATTTATTGTTTAAGTTTCAGCTGATGGCTGAGGTTCAGTTTTTGAAGTTTCAACTGTTATCATAACAGGATAAATTGTTCAATTTTAGCTAATATAAAAACAAGAAGATGTGTTATGATTGCCAATGAGACAACTCACCACCAGAGACCAAATGACATAGATTAGTTAGAAACTATAGGATGACTGTTTATGTTCCTTCTGCTCATAGTTTTATCATGAAAATATTTAATGTAATTATGTTTTAGCTGTCATCAGGATAAATTGCTTACTTTCTGGTGATGACAGGGTAAAGTTTCAGTTGATGACAGGATAAGTTCTTGGAAGTTGCTGTTGATGACAGAATAAATTGTTGAAGTTCCTGTTGATGACGGTAAAATTTCTGTTGATTACATGATAAATTATTGAAGTTTCTGTTGATGACAGGATAAATTATTGAAGTTTTTGTTGATGTTAGGATAAATTGTTGAAGTTTCTGTTGATGTCAGGATAAATTGTTGAAGTTTCTGTTGATGACAGGATGAATTATTGAAGTTTCTGTTGATGACAGGATAAATTATTGAAGTTTCTGTTGATGTTAGGATAAATTGTTGAAGTTTCTGTTGATGACAGGGTAAATTTCTGTTGATTACAGGATACATTGTTGAAGTTTCTGTTGATGACAGGATAAATTATTGAAGTTTCTGTTGATGTCAGGATAAATTGTTGAAGTTTTTGTTGATGACAGGGTAAAAATAACATTACAATTTTTTCTGCATACGATGCCCAGTTCGCCAATAAATATCTTTTCAGTGAGGCTCGAGGCCAAAATGTTTGAAAATCCAAAACTTATTAAAAAGATAACTAGTCTTATAAACCAAAAAGGACAAAAAGGATAGCCAAAAACATGCAAAGAATCAGAGCTTTGCATGAGGGACTCTATTCCTTAATTTTAAAATAATTTCCAAAATTTTGTAACTACAAATTTTAATAACACAATATCAGTATTTTCATGCCAGTAAAGTTTTATGTTGATGAAAGGATAAAGTTACTGTAAGTAAAACTGTGGAAATTGTTGTCAAACATGTTAAACATAATATTAATGTAACTTTCTTTTTTAGATATATTTTTAACAAGAAGGAGTAAGCTTTGAATATGTATTCTTTGATTGGATCAGTTATTGTTCTGTTAGTTCTGTGTCACAGCCTGGTCGGAATTACATTTGTAAAGTCAGATGACTGTAATAACATCAGTGGAAGTAAGTTTATTGAATTATCTAATTTACATTTGCATTCAATTTGCAATAAAAAGACAAGGATCCTCATATTTCTACAAACCAAAGTACCACTATCCATGTTTATGTTATTTTATTGTCTCGCCTTGACGGAGTCAAAAAGCGAGACATAGGTATCCTGTTTCCGTCGGCGGTGGCGGCGGTGGTGGCGGCGTCAACAATGTATTAGTTCGTGATTAGGTCTAGTTCATGGTGAACCACTAGTGGTAGGTCAATGATATTTGGTATGCAGTTGTATTAGCATTGGCACATCTCATTACCATTGAGATTATTTGGCCCCGCCCCCTCAGTCAAGGTCTATTGACTTTGAAACCTTGCTTAGTTTACATGTTTTAGTTTGTGATTAGGCCAGTTTTTATGGGGAACCACTAGTGGTAGGTCAATGATATTTGGTATGCAGTTGTATTAGCATTGGCACATCTCATTACCATGGAGATTATTTGGCCCTGACCCCTCAGTCAAGGTCCATTGATTTTGAAACATTGCTTAGTTTACATGTATTAGTTTGTGATTAGGTCAGTGTATGGGGAACCACTAGTGGTAGGTCAATGATATTTGGTATGCAGTTGTATAAGCATTGGCATATCTCATTTCCATGGAGATTATTTGACCCTGTTCCCTCATTCATGGTCTATTGACTGCAACTTTTGCTTAGTTTTCATGTATTAGTTTGTGATTAGGTCAGTTTAAGGGGAACTGTTAGTGGTAGGTCAATGATAATTGGTATGCAGTTGTATAAGCATTAGCACATTTCATTTCCATGGAGAATATTTGGTCCTTACCCCTCAGTCATGGTCTATTGACTTTGAAACTTTTGCTTAGTTTACATGTATTAGTTTGTGATTAGGTCAGTTTAAGATGAACCACTAATGTTAAGTCAATGATATTTGGTATACAAATGGATTGGCATTTGCAAGTTTCATTTCCATGGAGATTATATAACCCCACCCCCTAATAATGGTTCATTGATTTTGAAACTTTTACATAGTTTACAAGTTAATGTTTGTGTTTAGGTTTGTTTTAACAGGCAGGGTACAGACCTTGACCACATTCACGAATCAGTGATCAAGGTTAAGTCTTCTTGGTCAAATCTGTTTCTCAGATACTTTAAGCAAACTATATTTGGTGTATGGAGCAATTGTAAGGTGTACATGTCTCTTTGGCAGGGTTCCTCTAACTTTGACCTAATTTCATGATTTATAGGTCAAAGTTAAATTTGGTCATTCTGTATGTACTATAGGACCCTCAGTAGCAGAGTGGTCTAAGTATTTCATCTACAGTGAACACTATAAAATATTAGGAGATGTGGTATGATTTCCAATGAGACAGCTATCTACCAAGGACAGAATGACATGGATGTAAGCAACTAGTCTATCAACACCAAAGTTGTGAGTTCAAACCCCACTATTCACAGGTGTATTTGACTCAGATTTCAATTGACTAGGATAGCTAGTTTTCTTGTCAAAGTTCAGTGGTTCTCTCCTGGTACTTTGGCCTCCTCCAACATTTAAATCTAAGCAAATGTCACTGATATTAGGGAAATGGAATGATTGTAAAGTGTACACATCTGTCTGGCAGGGTTCATCTTACCTTGACCTTATTTTCATGGTTCATTGGTCAAAGTTCAGTTTTTGTGGTAAGGTCAATTTAGCTGATACTATATGTTGGTATCATATATGGATATATTAAGTAGAATTATTCTGCATAAACATATTAATATTCTTTGGATGACATATTAGAACAAAGATCTTTTTTTGACATGAATACATATCATGTTGGTGTCAGAAGATGAAATATATCTGTTAAACATTAGAAACAGGAAGAAATATAATCCTTGCAAAGCTCACAATAATATTCAAATACATTCAAGAAATTTATACTGTACACCTTTCTCACACACACTGCAAGCTTATTTAACATATAGTAGTATATGATATTCATTTACTAATATCAATTTTGTAATCACTTTAATCTCCTGTTTCAAACATATACTGCATACATTATTGTATAATAAGAAATTGTTAAACAAAGTTGAATGAGTTTTGATATGAGTAAAAACCTTTACAATGAAACCTTAAGAACTGTTCACCATTTTTCTCTTTATACAGTTTTAGTATTTCTAAGGTTACTATTGATATCATTATTTATGTCAGAGGTGAAATAGCTTCCTTCTTGTGAATTACCTCAGATCAATTGACCAAAGTTTGACCTGAACATATTTGGTTTATGCACATTTTAATTTTCAAAACAAGTCTTTATAAAATTTGATAGAATAAGCCCCTTGCAAGAAAATTATTAAATGCATATATGGTTTTAGTTGTAACTAATTAAACAATACAGGCCTGATGTACCAAAACATATATGCAGATATAAGATTTCATGATACACATTTTTAATGACAAATGCATTTGTGGTTAAATGGAAAAAATAACACCACCATTTAATGATATATTGCTTTCATATTTGCTGTCTTCTTTTCATTGTACTTTATCAGAATGTTGTCATATTGAGAAAAAAAGATTGAGCTTATTTATATATTATATACCATTTTCATAGATATTTCTCCAAGGTATAATTTAGGGATCACAGATGCAAAAAAGCATAGGTACCCCTTAATACTATTAAACATGACATTCACATATCAGATTTCCAGAATATTTGTAAGTTTATAAAATGCTTTTATTAACATATTTGTAAATCATTACCTTCAAAAAGTCAAATTTCACTATAGATGTATCATTTTTAAACTGGTTGACCTTAAGCAGAAAGAATTCAAATGTTTTTGTGTATTTGAATGTTTTAAGAGATCTTGAATTCTTGCAGCTTGTTAAATCATCTGAAAACTGCAAAATGATGCATGGTGTGGTGGTGTCAGTTTCATTTGATAGTATGAATTTTTTTTAAACTTAGAATTTCTGTTCTGAAGTCTAGTTGACCTATCATACTAAGTTTTAACACAATTGCATTGGTTACAAGAAGAAAGCATATATTACAATTTTGAATTTTAATACATTTTTTTTATTAAACTGGAGTCACCGGTATGCATGGCCAGAAATAGAAATCTCTTTCAATTCCTCCTAAAATAAGGTTTGCTTTTCAATCAGATTTGACATAGGCCTGAGTTTAAACCCAGCATATGGCAGGTGCATTCAACTTCAATCTTTTAATTGACTAGAATTGTCAGTTTTTCTGCTGAAGGTGGTGGTTCTCTCTAGGCACTCCGGCTTTCAATGAAATTTAATTATTTTGAGCAGATTCTCTGTAATTCTTACTCATTATGGGATATTCAAGCAACTTAAATTGAGGTGAAAACTTGAAATTTTAAAATGTTATTGCTAGTCCTATTTGACTTTTTTCTTTAATAGCTAACTCCCTGCCTGCTCATTCATCAGGTTTGGCCTAGATTTTACTGTTTCCAGTATTAATATATCTACATGCAAAACCCTTTAAGACAATAAGAATGTGTGATATGATTGTCAATGATTAAATCACGTGGATTTATGCAACTATTATGACTATAGGTCACCGTACACATTCAATAATGAGCGAAACCCATACTGTATAGGAGGGTATAAAGGGCCTAGCTAGCTAACATGTTAAAATGTGAAACAATTAAAATAAGAAAACCAACAGCCTGATTTATTACAAAACAATAAACAAAAAGCAAATATGTTAGACAGCGACAAACAACAACCATTGAATTACAGACTCCTGACTTGGGACAGTATGCAGTATTAAAATTGGGAAAAATGTGTAGCTATATCAAACAAAAAATATTGTTTTCCTCCCAAGATCAATGAAAAACAATTGTCCTTATTTTAATTAGGATCGCGGAAATACCCTAGTCATATTCATAGATATATATGGGCAACAAAAATAGTAACCCAATCAGAATGCAATAATATAAAAAGCAGCCAATGAAATCACGCTTCCATTGACATGCGGCGAGATTTTCTTGTCAACTATTTTATGCATTCCCTGAAAATCGGCAATTCTAATGTTACTTCTTTTTTTTTAAAAACATATTATAAGACGATTTTAAGGCTCACTGGCTTGTCCCCTACTTCTTAATCCTTTCAATTTGAATATTTTGAAGATTTTGTATCTCGATTGTCATGTCCGTTGCGTCAGTTTCCGGCATTTCTTTTTTCCCCAGTTCATTACACATGCACTGGAAACACATGTTGTAAACAATAACATGAGTTTCCTCCGTTTTTATGATGGGGCCGTGCCTGGTCAAAAACGGAAGGCCGATGATCAAAGAACTGCACGCCAAAAAAAAGTTGAGACATGGAAAGCATACGAGGAATTGCGTGGTGTCAGGAAATTTTGTGACAAATGGAGAGAAGGTAGAGACTGGTTGACCTTCAACAACAAAAGTAAAACTGGCATGACTTGCTCATATTGCATTGAGCTGTATACAAATGGGAACAAATCTACACCTTCCAACTTAAAAGGACAAAATGCCTTTCTCACAGGCTGTACCAATATGAGGATTTCAACAATTTATCATAGTCAAAGCACTCAGAATGCAGGATTTTGCATCTAATTTTTCAAAATTTTTATGGGAAGGGGGGGGGGGGGCATGCCCTCAGACCCCCCTAGCAAGTTTGCTGCGCTTCACGCTGCTCACAGGTGATAATAAGTAGGTCCTGTAACAGCAATGAAGGTCCAGTAAAAAATATTTGTTACTGGACCTCCTGACCTGTTAAAACAATTTAAGTTTGGCTGGGTCTGCCCTAGCAAGTTTGCAGCGCTTCACGCTGCTCACCGGTGATAATAAGTAGGTCCTGTAACAGCAATGAAGGTCCAGTAAAAAATATTTGTTACTGGACCTCCTGACCTGTTAAAACAATTTAAGTTTGGCTGGGTCTGGGTGTATATAGAAAGTGGCCTGGTTAATAATGTTTACGAGCAATCAAACCCTCCCCCTAACCCACGACAGTGATGTTACAAAACAACAC